GTGCTCTTAGGAACCTTAAGTGCAGCAGAATTTTTTTTTGTAACCTTGGCCAGATCTGTGCCTTGCCACAATTCTGTCTGTGAGCTCTTCAGGCAGTTCCTTTGACCTCATGATTCTCATTTGCTCTGACATGCAGTGTGAGCTGTAGGGTCTTATATAGACAGGTGTGTGGCTTTTCTAATCACGTCCAATCAGTATAATCAAACACAGCTGGACTCAAATGAAGGTGTAGAACCATCTCAGGGATGATCAGAAGAAATGGACAGCACCTAAGTTAAATATATGAGTGTCACAGCAAAGGGTCTGAATACTTATGACCATGTGATATTTCAGTTTTTCTTTTTTAATAAATCTGCAAAAATGTCAAACATTCTGTGTTTTTCTGTCAATATGGGGTGCTGTGTGTACATTAATGAGGAAAAAAATGAACTTAAATGATTTTAGCATATGGCTGCAATATAACAAAGAGGGAAACATTTAAGGGGGTCTGAATACTTTCCGTACCCACTGTATATATATATAAGAATCTATCATCTGTCCCACAGGAGGTTTTCTCCATCGCAGAATGAAGCAATTAAATGTGAAACACTGGCCTTGGTGTCATTTCATATACAGTATACTCTGTATATTTATATAGTATACATACAGATATATTTTATAGTAACACTGAACAACTGCATGTCAGTAGTGGTGTAAAGATGCCTCTGAAAATCATAGGTCAGGTGACGTCAACAGTTACCAGAGCATGAAGCTTCTCTTCCAGATCCTGATTGGTTCTCTGAGATGCCGTGTAGCTGTTCTGGAGTCTGAAAAGAAAAAGAGAGTATTGTGTTATAAAGGTTTGCCGACTCGTACTAGTGGAACATTCGTTTAAATTCATTTATTTCATATTTTACAGGAAATGTATTACTAGGGAAGTTAGTGGAGTCGTAGCTGAGTGACAGCTGAGTTATAGGTGAAACCGAACACAGTTTTGACTCACAGCTGAGAGAAACATCGTGAAGTTGCAGCAGTATTATAGTCAAGTCAAAGCCCAGTCACTGCTGACTCAGAGTCAAGTCTCATATAAGCCACAGTCAAGTTATAGCAGAGTCATAAGCGTTATAGTGCAGTCACAGCCAGGCCATACATTTCATAGGGTAAGGCCATTTGGCCTTCAATTCATCCTGTCATCTGTAGTGGGAGGAGCCTGACTGATCCAACCAAAAAGAGAGGGTTCTTCTAACAACCAATCAGATCACTCCTGTCCCCTCACCACCTGGTGACTGTCAGCTGACTCACCCCTGTCTCCAAGAGGTGGCAACTTGTCTGACCTTTAACCTCATCATCATCACCACCACCACCACCACCACCACAGGTAAGCCCAGAACCAAGTTCATTCTCAGAAGAGTCCTCACCTGCGGAACTTGTCTCTCATCTTGTCTAGGTCATCTCTGGTCTGGCTGAGCTCAGTCTCCATGTACTGGCGGCTGCCATCAAACTCTGCCTCCATGGCCTCCATCTTGTGGTTGGACAGAGAGAGGCAGCGTCGTAGTTCCTCATTCTGCTGCTGGAGAATTCTGGGTAACAGAAGGAGGAGCGCAGAGCTTCAATTCTCTAACGAGTCATGTAAGGGCCTGTTCAAGTGACTATGTGTGTACAGTATGGACGCACAGGGATATCTTAAAACTAATCTTAACACCTTTTTGTGAACACACTGAAGTCTAGTGAGGTCCTTCTTGTTTACTGCAGACACAAATGAACAACACTCACAGTGAGACCAAAGAACACGTTCCAGCAACAGCTGAAACCTCTCTCCATTTCCTTTAGGCTGAGACCATGAGAGACTGTGGTTAATGTAGAGTACTATAATTTGTAGCCTATTTGTCAGGTGAAGGTCTCGCTGCCCTGATTGGACACAATGTACACCTGAGACTGGCAGGAGGAGGTGCACCTGAACTAAACAGGTAAGAGCGAGGTGCAGTTCTCAAAGAGTTAGTGTGATCAGAGCAACCAGACAACAGCTCGCAGGTAGAGCAGAGTCTCACCTGATCCTGTCCAAGTCCGATAAGGCCTCCTGCAACAGAAGAGAACAGGATCAGAACAGAAACTACACCTGATCTGAATCTCCCAGCATACACCAGGGTCCTACATGATGGTTGGATCAACGTGCTGATCACACAGCTGTACAATCAATAACTCATCTGCTGTGGTTAGAGCAGGTCAACAGATCACTTTGCTCTGCTCTGATCATTTGACAAATTAAGTCACAGTTAGTGACCACATTTAGTCATAGCCACAACTTTATGTATTATATTCATATTTTAAATCAGGGGTGTCCACACTTTTTCGTCTTGCAAGCTACTTTTCAAAATGATTGACCTGCACTAAAAAAAATAACAAAAAACTATAGAACACACACACAAACACACATATATATATATTCAAGGGCTGCTGACCTGAGACTGAAGATCATGAGTAAGATGGACACCTGGAACTCCCGTGGCTGGTTACCAAGACTAAGTGAAGTGCCTTCTGAAACTCTACTAGATGATGTGAATGCAGCACTAAGAACAATCCCTACTACAACCATCACTGAGACCAACAAGCTCATATACACCACAGCAACCATGATCCTTGAGATGCTTGGCTATAAGTTCAATAAAGGCCATAAGGAGCAGTATCCTCCATGGAGAAGGAGGTTGGAGACCAAGATCAAGACAGAACGGAGAGAAGTTAGCCAGCTATCAGAATTGCAGAAAGGCGTGATGAAGAAAGGGGTACCTAAGAAATACAACTCACTGTCCATACCTGAGGCCTTGGAGACTGCCAAGCAAAGGCTCACAGCCCTGGCCACACAGCTGAAGAGGTACACCAGAGAAAAAGAAGCCAGGAGAATAAACCGAATGTTCTCCACTGAGCCATCCAAGGTGTACTCTCAGTAGCAGGATAATAACATGAGAGCAGACCCACCAAGGCTGGAGACTGAACAGTTCTGGAAGAGCATATGGGAGAAGGAGGCATCACATAACAACAATGCCCAGTGACCTAAGAGCAGACCACAGCAACCTCCCTGCACAAGACCCATTAACCATCACAATGGCAGACATTCAAGAGCGGGTCTCAAGTATGAAGAGCTGGACAGCACCAGGCCCTGACATGATCCACACCTACTGGTTAAAGAAGCTAACCTCACTCCATGAGCGCCTAGCGAGACAAATGAACCAGCTACTAATAGATGGAACCCACCCTGTAGGCCGGACAGTCCTGATCCTGAAGGACCCTCAGAAGGGAGCAGTACCATCCAACTATGCCCAATAACCTGCCTCTGCACAACATGGAAGCTCCTATCAGGCATCATAGCAGCTAAGATGAGCAGGCACATGGCTCAATACATGAAAAGAATTGGTAGCAACACCAGAGGAGCAGAGCACCAGCTACTGGTTGATAAAGTAGACACTCGAGACTGCAAGACTAGGCACACCAACCTGTGCACTGCCTGGATTGACTACAAGAAAGCCTATGACTCAATGCCTCACACATGGAATGCTTGGAACTGTACAAGATCGACAAGACTCTATAAGCCTTCATCAAGAACTCAATGGGAACATGGAAAACAACCCTAGAGGCCAACTGCAAGCCAATTGCACAAGTCAACATCAGATGTAGTATCTACCAAGGAAATGCTCTGTCCCCGCTGCTGTTCTGCATAGGCCTGAACCCCCTCAGCCAGATCATCACCAAAAGCGGTTACGGATACCGACTATGGAATGGAGCAACCATCACCTCCTCTACATAGATGACATCAAGCTATATGCCAAGAGTGAACGAGACATCGACTCACTGATCCACACCACTAGGATCTACAGCCAGGACATCAGAATGTCATTCGGACTGGATACGTGTGGCCGAATGGTAATGATGAGAGGAAAGGTAGTCAGTACTGAGGGGATTGTACTACCAGAAGGCAACATAGCAGATGTTGTGGACCGCTACAAGTACCTTGGGATCCTGCAGGCAAATGGGAACCATGAAGAGGCCGCAAGGAAAGCAGCAACCACCAAGTATCTGCAGAAAGTAAGGCAAGTCCTGAGAAGTCAGCTGAATGGAAAAAACAAAGTCCAGGCGATTGACACCTACGCCCTGCCGGTCATCAGGTACCCCGCTGGCATAATAAGCTGGCCAAAGGAGGAGATAGAGGCCACTGACATCAAGACAAGGAAGCTCCTTACAATGCACAGCGGGTTTCACCCCAAGTCCAGCATCCCGAGACTGTACACCAAGTGGAAGGAAGGAGGCCGAGGATTAGTGAGCATCAGAGCCACTATCCAGGATTAAACAACAAAGATCCATGAATACATCAGGAAGATGGCCCCAAGTGATGACATGCTTAGTGAACACCTCAAACAGCAGAAACCAGAGGAACTAGGGAAGGAAGAGCAGGAACCCTCATGGAAGGACAAACCTCTGCACGGTATGTACCACCGTCAAATAGTAGAAGTGGCTGATATCAAAAAATCCTACCAGTGGCTGGACAAAGCTGGACTGAAAGACAGCACAGAGGCACTAATCCTGGCAACACAGGAATAAGCTCCAAGTACAAAATCAATAAAGGCCAGGGTCTACCATACCAGACAGGACCGCAGGTGCAGGCTGTGCAAAGATGCCCCTGAGACAATCCAGCACATAACAGCAGGGTGCAAGTGGCTGGCATAGTGTACAGAAACATCTGTGCCAACTACAGGCTAGATGCCCCAAAGTCAAAATGGGACACACCTTCAAAGATGGTTGAGAATGACCAAGCTAAGATCCTGTGGGACTTCCAGATACAAACTGACAAACTGGTAATGGCCAACCAACCGGACATAGTAGTGGTGGACAAATAGAAGAAGAGGGCTGTAGTGATAGATGTAGCAATCCCAAGTGATAGCAACATCAGGAAGAAGGAACATGAGAAGCTCGATAAATACCAAGGGCTGAAAGAAGAGCTAGAAAAGATGTGGAAGGTGAAGGTACAAGGTACAAGATACTGTGCAGGACCCTCAAGCTCCCAGGCCTCTGGTAGAGGACACGAGCTTGAAGGAAGGAATGCAAGACCACCCCATAGTGGGGGCGAGTGGGGAAATTTTTTTTTTTTTTTTTTTTTTTATATGGCAGAGACCAGATTGGACACTTCCAGTAGCTCAGGTTAGCTGGCTAACTTGCTGCTAGCTAATCACAAGCCTAATTTCTTTTTTTTTTTGTCTTTGGGGAGGCGACAGTTCCTTGTGTGTAACATACTTGGCCAATAAAGGTGATTATCCTTATCCAGATCAAGCAAACGCACTTTGAATATGACATTGTGAAAAAAAAAAAAAATTTGTCCTCCCATTCCGCATGAAAGTGGTAAGTTTTCGTTTTTTAACTTGATTCAGCTCCCCCACTCATTTTATACCCTTTCTTTAGTAGAAATAAATTCGAAGGCTGACAAGGTAGTTAGCTCACTGGAGTTTTGCAGTAGCTCGTGTGATTGACTGTGCATGCTTGGTGACGCCTGTGTCAGAAAAGACAAGATCTCAGACTGGCTGCCCTGCATGTCAATCAAGTGGCAAATGCCATAGGGAGGATGGATGATAGGCCAACATCTAACTTTGTTTTTATGAATGGCCACCTTTGCGATCAATGCATTGGGCACCCCTGCTTTAAATGTTCTGTTTCCTCTCATCTTGAACCTATAAGACACTTAAACTGTAATAAAGTTCATTTGAAAATAACTTCTCTTCTGTTTACATTCTATTTTAATGGATGTTTCAGCTAAAATCTGATCTTTTCATAAATTTTTATGCTGACAAGATAAACTACGCGATGGATTGGCGACCTGTCCAGGGTGTACCCCGCCTTCACCCGATTGCTGGCCGGGATTGGCTCCGGCCCCCCCGCGTCCCCGTTCAGGGACTAAGCGGTAGCAGATGAATGAAAGATAAACTGCTCCTTCATGTTTCTTAAGGTGCCCATGGCATGTTCTTCCTTATTTTCTGATTTATCTTAAACATAAATCAAAGTTCCGAAAACGAGGTGCACCTGTGTTGTTTCACTTCTATGAAGAATGCCATGGTGAGACCGTGCCTCGCTGTGTGCGTTTAGCCGCCCCAGTGGCGGCGCTGAGGAGGAGGGTGAAGTGCTGCAGGGAGGGTCTAGGTGTGTCTAGGTGTGTCTAGAATGCGTTTGATTACCTGATTCATGTTTTTTTGAGCAGGGGGGGGTGGAGCAGTGGGCAGAGTGTGGCGGGTTTCACGGTGCTGTGGTGGAGCCTTCCGATACGGCTTTCTGGCCGGGGCCGCGCTTGTCATCCTGGACGCTCCTTTAATCCTTCCTTCCTGTTGGTCTGTAAGTCCTGCCAGTAGAAGAGGGATTAGATGAGGTAGAAAACCTGCTCAACAACGCCGTAACCACATCAGGGGCCCGTTTCAAGAAGGAGGTTTTGTTGAAACTCTGAGTTTCTTAACCCCGAAATGAGGAAAACTCAGAGTTTTCGGTTCCAGAAACGGAGGTAACTTAAACCTGTGAAAGCGAGGTAAGTTAAACCCGTTTCAAAAAGAGAGGTAATCTAAACTCAGAGTTAGTTACTATGGCAACTTACTCTGTGAACCTAACCTGGTTGGGAGCAGGTTTTGTTCGGGAAACCCAGAGTTTCCTCCGGTCTCCGCCCCTTTTTAAAGTGAAAGGTGTTTAATACCTCATTTAATCTTTCAGTACATTCATAGATTGCACATGTTTCCGTCACGCAGAGACCAAAATGGCGTGTCCATTCATAGAGGATCCTGTAGATGAGGACGCTGTATTAATTCGCAGGGAATTG